GAAGACACTTGAAAGATTCTTGCAATCTGTGTGAGTTTTAAAAGTTGCACTTCTACACTGACCCAGAATCCTCTGTGACATTTTGCTTTACAGATAAAAATTCTTGATGAATAACTCTTTTTGATACAAGAATGGTGGCATTTTCAACATAATGCATCACTTTGCAGTCAAAATCCTGACACGACCTGCAACAGCATGGAGCGTAATGCCTGCAGTGGTGATAATGAAAAGCACCAGAGTGGCATTTCCTTCACATGATACCAGTTAATGTTCCCAAAAGGGGCCCAGATTGCCTGATTGATGTATATTACTTACTTTGTTGTCTAACTGTTTTGCCATCCATTACTCCTATGCTGTTTGTGTGGGAAGGGGTGACTGCAGCGTGCTATCTCAGCTCTGCAGCACAGCCAGGATGGGAAACAGAAGGTTGAGAAGATGATTTCAGGCCTTATTTTATTGTCTATGTAGCGTTATTAAGATCCTATTGTCTGCCCTTAACAGCTTCCCCTTCACACAGTAACAGTGTGCATGAATCGCCAAGGTCGGGTGCTTGTTTCTAAATGTTTACATTCCAGGAAAGGAGACAGAAGAAGGAAGAAGAACGCTTTTCATTAATTAATCGAAGAACTTTATTTGGAATAAAGCTAATCAAAGCATATGTTGATCAATAATAATCAGGTGACTGATCTGTGAAATCAAAATGTCATGATTTATGTGTTTAATGAATAAACAGGACTGTGCACCAGACATACTGATCCACAGAACATAAGAACGCATGACACATTGTTCTCATCCAATCAGAGCTTCCGTCTGTTGCAGGGCAGAATCTGGGCTGTTTACTTAAATTGTCCACTCCGATTTGCTAAGATTTATAAACAACTAAGTTAATAAAACAGAGCAACACTATTTTAACTTCAGTTCCATCTCAGTTCCATCTGAGTTCCAACGGAGTTACATCATAGACTCAACGTAGTTTCAACCAGCTCTCAAATCATCATCGCTAAAGGAGATTACAGTCTGGCCAGCTGTATTTTTCTACTTTTAAGCTGAGAACTGTCAAGCTGGAAATTCTGTCGTTTGAACAACAAGACGATGGTTCCTTCACAATAAAAGCTGAACGCGCTGAGACCTGCCACTACTGCCGGGAGCTATCCGTAGACGGGTTTTGTCGTGCTGCAACACTGTTTCATCAGTCCAGTACCAAGGAGGTCCAAGGACCTGACAATCCTGATCTGACCACGGGAGACTCCACACGGTACGTAGACTCGGCAAGATGGCGTTTCATGTCATGAGCTTCTGAAGCCCTCGTGGTCCCTAGTCATAACATCTGACACCCAGATCCGCCTGCCTCAGCCTGGAGATTCTGAACACACACACACACACACACACCAACACTTCAACATTCAAATCCATATGCATCCATCATAGAGAGTTAGTCCTGGATGATTGATTGAATTTATAATTATAGAAATTAAAGATTCTTAAATGATCCCAACTCTCTCTTTTCTTGTCTCTAAGTCAATACAAAGTGTTAAATAAAACTCCCTGAAGTAAAAACAACCTCTTCTGATTATAATATCTGGACCTAGAAAAAAGTGTAAGAATATACAACTATATTCCACTACATCTATTTAACAGACACAGAGTCATGAATGGACGAACCCACAGATGATTCGCGCGCTGCGACCCGCAGCGCTCCTCTGTGAGAGCGGGGGTGGGGGGTTGCACACATTCCGCTGCTGTTTCTCACCAGTATCAGCTGATGGAGGGCTCTAGTTTCACTGCGCCGTTCGTGCCAGCGGACACGGTAGGGTTGGGGAGGGGGGCGGGGCATGACACATAGCCTGGCAGCCCGCCAGGCTTATCAAGCGCTGGGGGGAAGAAGCCATTCTAAATGTTTTCATCTCTAAAGCCCTTTTCAGACTGACATTCTGGAACATTTGTGGACAATTCAATCCGGTTTTTAACCGGAACTGTGTTTTCAGACACACCACTTTTGTACCGGAACCTGTCCTTTCGGCTGCGTTCACACAGCAGGGAAAAGTTCCAGATGTCTGACGGCGGCGGGGGTGGGGGGTGGGGGGAGAGAGAATCGGACTCATGTTAAGAAGAAGAAGAAGAAGAAAACATCATTTCTATAGCGCCTCTCAAGATAAAAATCACGAGGCGCTTAAGCATAATTCTGCGCACACGAAGACGCATAAGAGACCTGGATGATGAAGCTCAATGGTTAAAGGAATCACTGAAGCGGTGTGAAGCGCTCCGTCGCGCGTCTAAACGGTACCGTAGGAGGCGAGCTGCCGTGGTTCGCTGCATGCTACAGCAGCGGGCTATCTGGGTGCGCACAGCGTCCCCCGGTCCCCTCCTCCTCCCCCTCCTCCCTTGTCCGGAACTTTACCTCACCAGTCTGAAGCCCCCTTCAGACAGGCCATGAAAAACGGAAATGTTCCGGAGTCTGTCCATAAGACCTTTGTGTCTGAATACAAACATCCGGATAACGTGTTCCGGAATTTAACCGGATGAAGCCCCTAGTAACAGGTCCGGACTTGTTACGGACAGGGTGGCTGCTTCAGACTGGTGAGGTAGAGTTCCGGACAAGGGGGAGGGGGAGGAGGAGGGGACCGGGGGACGCTGTGCGCACCTAGATAGCTCGCTGCTGTAGCATGCGGCGAACCACGGCAGCTCGCCTCCTACGGTACCGCCTAGACGCGCGACGGAGCGCTTCACACCACTTCAGTGATTCCTTTAACCATTGAGCTTCATCATCCAGGTCTCTTATGCGTCTTCGTGTGCGCAGAATTATGCTTAAGCGCCTCGTGATTTTTATCTTGAGAGGCGCTATAGAAATGATATTTTCTTCTTCTTCTTAACATAAGTCCGATTCTCCCCCCCCACCCCCGCCGCCGTCAGACATCTGGAACTTTTCCCTGCTGTGTGAACGCAGCCGAAAGGACAAGTTCCGGTACAAAAGTGGTGTGTCTGAAAACACAGCTCCGGTTAAAAACCGGATTGAATTGTCCGCAAATGTTCCAGGATGTCTATCTGAAAAGGGCTTGAATCAGCCACCCTGTCCGTAACAAGTCCGGACCTGTTACTAGGGGCTTCGTCCGGATAAATTCCGGAACACGTTATCCGGATGTTTGTATTCAGACAGAAAGGTCTTACGGACAGAGTCCGGAACATTTCCGTTTTTCATCGACTGTCTGAAGGGGGCTTAAGTTGTCCACAACAAACAGAAACAGTGTAGTTTAATTCCCACATCTCTGATGCAAACAACTTAACTTAACTTAAATTAACTTAACTTAACTCTACACAAAATAATCCAGGAAACACGTCTTCTCCACTGAATCGACTCTCTTGGCTGTGACAGAAGCCCTAAAATAATCCAGAATAACATGAGGGTCCTCTGGACTGATCCTGACTTATTCTCTGCATTTGATTTCAACCGTGGAATACTTTCGTCCATACTGTCTCACAGGTCATCACATCACAGTTCGGTCTTTGAATGTTTCCTGGCTGGGTCATCACAGGGCTCCCCCAAGGCCCAGTGTTGGGACCTCTTCTGTTTGCTATTTACACCAGCTCACAGGGTCCGATCATCCCATCACATGGTTTCTTCTACCACTGCTGCTGTGGGTATGCTGTTCCCACCTGATGACCAGAAGGCCACAGCACGTCTTCCACCCTCTCTCTAACATATCTACATGGGGGAAAGCCCATCAGATTTTCTCATATTTTGCCTCTACCATCACACCAGTTTGATTTCATTTGCAGTATTTTTCTGCTTTCCTGAAACTTTTTGATCTTCTTGGATTAAATTTCTCAGAATCACTTCCACCACCCTTCTGCTTGTCTGGATCTATGTTCTCCAATTACTGATTTACTTTGTTGGCACATTTCTGTGGCAGTAAAGCGTATTACAATCTGTGGCTTGAAACTTTGCAGCAGAAAATTCAAGAACAAATATTTTACTGTATGTCCTGTAATTGCATCAGTGTTAGAACTTATAATTGTTTAATTATTGATAATCACACGTGTAGATGCCCTTGGAAGGAAATGGCCTTGCTCCTTACAAATGTGTCACATTCTGGTTTGTGTTTCCTATCACACATCAGGTGTAGTTTTTATTCTGTTCTTGCTCTTTTACTCTGTTCAGAAAGCAACATCTCACATAAAGCATTGATCTTATTTCCTTCAGACTTTCCCATAAAAAAATTAATCAGACCACCACTTCCACAGTAACTTTTTGAAAGTTAGTAATTCTTTCAGCATCTAAATCTGACCTTGGTCCTGACAGTTTGGCAGGGAGGGTTTGTCCATTTCTTCATATGAATTTGGTCCCTGAGAATCCTGTTTACTTTTCATTTCCAGTCGCTTCTAAGAGGAACAGAAGAATTTGATGCACTGAAGCAAGGTTGTTCTCATTAGTCTCTGTATCCACAAGGAGCTGGCCCAGATAAACCTGCTCAGCAAGTCTTTCCCCGAAGAGCTGCAGTTACTGTGCTAGATATGCAAAACCACGCTAGCAAAGAACGGAACAAGCACAGTGGTGGGAAGATTTAAAGTCTGTTTTGTTGTTCAGAGAGCTGCAGATCAATTAACCCCCCCCCCCCCCCCCCCCCGAAAACTGTGTGTGTGTGTGTGTGTGTATGTGTGTGCGTGTGTTAATTGTGACAGAATTGAGCTGAGGGAAACCTTGATAGAAGACTAACATTTGCCTTGATATGCATACACACCTAAACACACACACACACACACACACACACACACACACGCGCGCACACACACACGGGCGCACACACACACGGGCGCACGGGCGCACACACACACACACACACACACACACACACACACACACCCGCGCACACACGCGCGCACACACACACACACACACACACACACACACACACACACACACACACACACACCTTTGGTCCTTTGTGGAATGTAAATTAATGTTACATAAAAAAGTAAAGAGGCGAGCAATCAGCTAAACTCACCTTGGTCAAGAGACTTGGCAGGAGCCCAGCTTTTGAAGTAGTCATCCTGCGTGAAAACACACACACACACACACACACACACACACACACACACACACACACACACACACACACACACACACACACACACACACACACACACACACACACAGAGAAACAGGGTTTGAAAAATAACAGAAATAAGACAGATATTTTGTTAAACACAAAAGTGAAGACCTTAAAATGCTAAACCCCACGTATAAGAAGCCCTTTAAAGAGTGCTTTTCATTCATATTTAATTGTTTTTGTCATGCTAAATTAATGATTCCAGCAGAACCAAAAAGAAAACGCCTGGTGGTTTTGCTTCTTTGGGCGTTTATAAATAGCAAAGAAACCTGCAGGGGAAGCGCTAAACCATCACAGGAGATGAAAACACACATTAACATTCAACAACAAAGAAAAAGGAAGTGTTGTTTTAACACCCAAATGCAGCCATCTTGGTGATGACTGCTTTCAACACCTTCTTTGGTAGGATTTAATATTTCTGTGAGATGGACTGTGGCTGGATCGCATGTACCTCATGAAACATTAGCTACACTATAAAACATGTCTTTGAACCTTTTGTTGTATTTTTGTTGGCTGACTATGATTTACTCATGTTTATGTTTTATATTCTCATGAGTATGGGCACTCTCAGACCTTTATTTATAGCTTTAAATTTATTTTATTTGGTATACAAACGTGTTGTTATTAGAAAGTATCTACCTCAGCATACGAAATAGTTGTACACTTAAGCACCTGAATTCAGAATCGCCAAATGATCACATAACCTGTGACTTTTAAAATAGTTTAAGCTTCTAAGATGAACCCAGCAATGTTGTTTACAGACATAACCACTTTATATTTTTAATCCTCAAGCTTAATGTTGTGAGAAAAAATGGATTTTAACTGAAATGTGACATGCTCCTTGCTCAGTTTTTAAAGTCTAAGTAGGGGCGATCCGTCTAAAATACCAACATAACACGCTTCATCTGTTGTGATAGAAAAGGCCATTATGTGATGATAAAGTGTAGAGCACAAACACATTCACAGCACTGAGTGGTGGTGATTTTTACAGTTCAAGTATCACCTAGAGTAAACCATATGTTTGTCAGCGGGGAGGGAGCCGATGTCGCTGACACTATGTGGAGGAGGGAGGGAATCCCGCTGCTCTGAAACTGGAATCTATACGTACTTCATTACAGAATAAGAGGGATAGAGGTGGGGGTGGTCAGGTGGATGGAAGTCCAAAAAATATCTAAAAAAAGGTCAAACAAATACAAACATTGCACAAGAAATAAAACGTGTCAACACTGAAGCCATTATCTCATCAGCCTGCATTCTAAAGCTGGTTCTACAATTGCAGGGTTTTTACCATTTTTGTGGCAACGTTTTCAAAATGCCTCCAAACATGTGTAAGGGTTAACAATTTCCTCAAAGCCTCAGATGCCGTCAGCAACACAAATAGTCACAGAGTCATCAGCTGTTTCTGGGAACCTTCTCAATGAAGCTTTTGTGTATCATGGCTACAGGGAGAGGGGCCCAGTCAGATGGAGAACACTGTATCAGAGATAGACCTGGGACCAGACAACCATAAAATACATTATTATACTCTATACTATATAACATGAATTGGATCTAGGTGATAAAGATGTGATACTGACTCCTATTTTTCTATTCAAATCAGTGCAGTTAAAAAAATGCACACACACACACACACACACACACACACACACACACACACACACACACACACACACACACACACACACACACACACACACACACACACACACACACACATATATATATACACACATATGCCCAGAGCCCTAAAGAACCCGGGGGCCCTGCCGCCTCAGTGACCTCAGCGCCAGAGATTGAAAAGCCTGACGCTGGAAGACGTGCCCGTGGGATTCAGGAGGTCTTTCAAGTACTTCACCTACCGATCCACAGCATCCAAAGTCAAAGACAGCAGCACATTGTCTACTGTAAACAGTGTTGATAGTACACAAGTTTCCCCTTCTTAGACACTGGATGTTGGACCAGAATCTTTCACCATGGCCTCACCAAACTCTTCCCAACTCAGGCTGTTTCCCCACCAGTGAGGTCACATTACACATACCAAGAGCTAGCTTCTGTAGCCAAGGATCAGACCTCCAAAGTTCGGCTACCACCCATCTCACATTGCACCCGACCCCTATAGTCCCTTCCATGAGTGGTGAGCCCGTGGGACATGGGAAGGGGGACCTACGTCTCCTCTTCGAGCTAGGCCTGGCTGGGCTCCTGAGTGAAAGCCTAGCCAACACTCGCTTGCCAACGTGCCCCACCTCCAGACCTGGCTCCAGAGGGGAGCCCTGGTGAGAAAACTAATTTCCATGTATTGTGATCCTCATAAGGGGTCTTTGGGCTGCACTTTATCTGATCCTCATCTGTGAACCTACCAGAGGCATAATCAGATCAATGTTATGATATTTTTAAATAAGTTTTTAAATCTTTTTATTTTATATCTTAGAATTTTAGTTTTTGTGAAGCGTCTCACCATTTTTATCTTGAGAGGCGCTATATAAAAGAATGTTTCTTATCTTCTAATGCTCCAGACAACCTAGCTCCTAGAATCATTGGGACACTTAAGCAACTTCTCTGCTTTTTAAACATGTCTGAATGATTCTGACACAGGGCTGTACAGTGCCACATATGTCACATATGTGATGAAAAAAACTCTGTGCAATAAACTATTTTTAGAGGTAGCACTCGTGCATAATTTCTTCAAGGTACTCCCCCCTCGGAACTTTATTGAACAAATCATACCTGCAAACTTGTTTTTGAAGTCAAATATGGAGTTTATGTGAATCGCATAAATCCAAAGACTTTTTGTTTTGAGGAGATGAAGGTCCTCTGTCGGGTTTCAGTCACTCTTTATGAAAATCAATCAGACAAAGGAGGGGAGCTTCAGCTTCTTCACAAACTATCTTTGTTCTAGCATGTATGCCACATTATGTCATTTGACCAAATACAGTCGCACTCTCACTACTGTCACAGTGGTTTTGAGCTAAACGTTTGTCCAATCAAACAAAATCACCACTGAATAACATGGTTTACTGTCAAGGACTCCTTTCGGCCTTCATAGATTTTCCTCCGAGGCTCTTGTTTCTTTTTGCTTTTTGGGAGTTGAGTTCAGAGTAAACACTGCCAGTATTTATCCCATTAAAACCTAATAACATAAATACTTTTTTTTTTTTTCGGATAAAAATGGCCAGTAGGCTACTACAGCCTTCCCAGTATGAATCTGGGCACTGGAAGATTTAAGGACGCAGGAGAAACATGTAATGAGATAATTTCATAAAATTGTAACATTTCCACTTTCTTTACAGAGTCAGATAAACATTTTACCTTTAGCAGTGGTTCTTACAGTATTTAAGCAAACAGCTGAGAAAAAGCTGCATTTACCTGCAGCTGCAGCCCTTTCTACATGTTTAATCACAACCAACTCAGCAGCACTCATGAGACCACACCAATAACTTCATAAGGATGATAATATTTGTTTGAATGCTGTTTACAGTTCAGCTATTCATCAGCTTCAGCTGAGTTTCAGCATCCAGCATTCAAACAGCATTTCTGTAAGAAATGCAATTTATCCGATGTTTTCATGTTTGTTGTTCCGTGAATTACTGTCATAATAATTTTTAATGAATAAATAGCATTTTGTCAGGCATATAGTATTTTTCTGAGCAGAAGAACCTTGTGGTATAAAATTATTTTCATTTTGAAAAAAAAATCACATTGATAATTTATTATAAAATTTTATTCCAAAATATTACTTTTACTAGCAGCAACAAGTGTGTAAATGTCAGAGCAGGTCACTACAAATCATAACTGGCTCATTTAAAACATGTCAAGTTTTTGCACCCTGTCGCTTGCTTTCTTTAGATACATTATTAGGGTTTGTCAGTGTGTTTATAAGAACAACTTTTGGTTTTTAAAGATTGCCACAGAATTTTTATGCTGGCGCTATACACGTTTTTGTTCTATACTGCAAAACCTAGATGTGATGGCTACCAGCCTGGCCATTGGGATGCAGGAGCCAGGATCACCCAGCCCTGGTGATCAGCCTGACACCACCCCTCCTCCTCCTCTCTTCCAGGCTGCTGAGGAGCACAGCTGAGCTGAATCCTGCTGATGAGCCACACCTGGGATAAAAAGGCTGTGCCTTCAGCAGTCTGAGGCAGCAGTGCAGGGGTTCTGCTGTCCTCCAGGCTTCAGAGTTTGTTTTAAACCCCTTTGTTTTTGAAGAGTTTTAACTTTCATAGTTTTAACTCCGTGTTGATGAGCCTTAAAGAGTTAAAGCTCTGAGTGGGATTGTTTTAAAGGTTAACTTGGTGATGCAATTGTATTGACTTTGGTTTTAAAACACCTTCGGTTTGGTAAAACTTTTAACATAAGTTTTAACCAGGTGTTTTTAATGTTGGTAACTGCTCTTTTAAGCTTAACCTTTATGAGGATTTTGTTTTGCATTACCTTAGTAATGCTCGCCATCTGTTTGCACTAGTTTTTTTTAACCTTTTATAACAATTAAACCCATTTTAACTCTACTGTCGCAATTTATGTTACCCCCTCCTTGGCATTTTAACATTTCCTGTTGGGGATGTAACATAAATGGGGGCTTGTCTGGGATATTTTTTAAAAGCAGACCGTGAAGGAATGTACAATCCCTTGGTGGTGGTATTTTAATGGTATTTGTTTTAAGGTTTTAAGCAACAGATGGCTTTGTGGATGACTGGCTGGTGCTTCTGGAGGCCCCGCCCCTGCCGGAGGATCCACTGCTGGATGGGCTCTCCGAGTCTACGAGCCTGATCCAGCCCTGCAAGGGAGGAGGAGGAGGAGGGGCGGTGTCAGGCTGATCACCAGGGCAGGGTGATCCTGGCTCCTGCATCCCAATGGCCAGGCTGGTAGCCGTAACACTTAAACCTTTGTAGCACCAGCACTACCAGCTAAAAATGTTACAGCACGGCCCTGACTGATGGCACA